AATAAATAAATATTTGGAAAGGTAGTAAGTAAAATAAAGAAACTACATTATTTAAGCATTTGTTTATAATTTTCATGAGAAAATCTAAATATACATATCTTTTACATTTCTTCAACGACATTGGTATTACTTTATAATGCTATAGAATACTATTTTTTAGAAATATATTACTGCAAACAATAGCGGATTACGGAATCAAATAACTTTGAACAATATATTGAATTCAGTAAATAATCCACTTATTGTTTTTAGGAATATTACGAATTTTCTAAAATATTTTTATTTAAATAAATATTAAACCAATATCGTACGGAAAATAACGGCCAAAAGATCAAGAACTTATATATATAAGCTCCAAATATCCTTTTACTTTTTTGTATTCCAAGTTGTTAATAGAAAAATGCATGAAAAATTCAATTTTTGTATACAAATATTAAATATTAAATTTCCCCAAATCAAATTTTTAGTCAGTCAGAACAAACTTTTATACTTATATATACGTCATGCCAAACATATAGACGATTAGAGGTTTAAGTATACACTGTTTCTATATGTTACATACAAGGCAACAAAACAAGCATGCCCTTCAGGAGTAGGGCATAACTGAAGTCAGCCAGCGAGAAGTAAACTCAGTTTTAATTACAATCTGTGCGCTAATTGACTAAAAGCTACAAAAAAGTGAAAATTGGAAAAATTTTAATTGAATTGCTGCAATATATGCATTTATAAATATATTAATAGACACGTACGTTCATCAATGATTTTTGCGCTCGAAAAATGGCATTTATGGAAATTATACTAATCAGATGTGGCAGAGTGACAAAAACTGTATGGATTGGATTTGTTGTTGCTTTTGCCACACATTTTTCAACGCCACACGACTTGCCAGCATCGACATTAAAAATATATAACTATGTATATATACGAGTATACTCGTATGGCATGTATATATTTTTTAATGTTTTTAATCTCCCGCCAGTTTTTGTTGAATATCTTTCAGCTTTTTTCAGAAAATTGTTTTTGTTGAGTTGCTGCTCGGAATCTGCAATTTCCATTAATAATATATGTTAACATTTTTTATGCGCTTCTCATATGATTTCTGTATGAAATAGGAGACTGTGCCTTTGTTGTTATGACGTTTGCTACGTTGTCAGCATATATTAGCAATAAAAAATGTATATTATGGATTGATTTGGCACAAATCTGTTATACCCTTTTGCGAATTTAGGCCCATTTGTTAATACCACTTGGACTGAAGCCGACTGAGTTGAAAAGATGGCGAATGAGCAAGACATAAAAAATGCACAAATACAATCAAATTAATGTCTGAACAAGTTTGAGCACGACGTGCACGGATTGTGTAACGTTAATTCATTCAAAAACCTTTATATTTATAACAATTATGCCAGGCAATGTTTCAGTGTAAGCAAATGAATGTCATCTGTTAAATAATATTTAACCCTAATGCTCAGGCGATCTTTAATTGTATACAATGTTATATATAAAGAGTTCTATATTCAAATATATATTATTCCTTTCCTTGCTATAAAGAAGGCCTGCCATCAAGCTTTTACTCAAGTGTTGCCTCCAGTTCTGACTCAATTAGTTCTTTTGATTGTTTGTCTATAAAATTTTGGAAATGGAATTATGGTAAAACATATGTACAGGTATATGCAGCAATAAATGGATATTGTTCCTTCGTTAATGAAATTGTGGAATGAGCTGCCATGAATGCGAATAGTTGCCGATTTAAATTCTTATGGGGCTTTGAAAAGAGAGTCTACAATTCATTTTGCTACTCCAGGCTTACTATATCGTGATTTCGTGATGGAATTCTCCTCAAAAGACTATCCAACGCTTCTTCAAATTGAGTCTGACGGGACTTTTGCCTTGCATTGTGTAGAAATCTGAAGAAAAAAGGCCTTTTTGGACAAAAAGAATAGAGACCTTGTGGTATGGGAGTCGCGTGTCCTAAGACACAACCGAACCCCCTTTAGGCTTTATTTAGTCTGCCATAGCATTAGTTTTCCGATTATACAACCTAGCACGATATTGTGCACATTTAAGTGATCACAAATTATAGCTATTAGTGCGGCATCGGATCTACAGTGTCAGCTACAAAGTTACTCTATCCGGTCATGAAACAGCTACAACTAATTATGAACAATATGCAGTTATAAAACCTTAATATTAGTGCATCCTACAGATGTGATGGCAATAAATTGCTCTAACGATTTGAGAAATTGGAGCCACTAGCTACGGAGTTTATGAATGAAAACGGTGTACGAATTATAACTAGAATTTATATAGAATTATATTTAAATAGAAATGAAAGACAGATCAAATAATTGTCGTAAAAGGAAAAGTAAAAGAATTAAGAATATTAATCTGCAACATTTCAATGCATTAAGTGGGAAATTTTAGGAATGGCATAAAATAAAGAATTCCTCTACAGTTGGATATATTGGTGGAGTGATAAAATACAATTATCTATACAAATAGTTGAAAAAAGAAGCATACTTCTTGAGATCCTAACTCAGAATGTTGGAGATTTTAGATTCTGATTATTAGATAGAATACAGTTGCTTATGGTGGGGGAATATACAATTCGTATATCAATGGCAGAATATCTTTATAGATTATAGAGCATCGAATCGTACTCTTGCCGAGTGTGTTCTAAAAACTATTAATAAGAGCCAAATAGAAGGAAATGTAAACCAACATTTCCCCACTACAGCTGGAAGATGTGTCTAATTTTTGATAACAAAGCTCAGAGTATTTTTGACTTCAGTAATCATACCCTACACTATTAATAGTTAATTCATGATTTTTGTTTAGTTAAAGACCTTTTAACATGATAAAATAATCTGAGAAATGGGTTTTGATTTCAGTTTATATTTAAGAGAAGCTTGCCTTTCAGGAAACTATTTGAAAATCGTTCTAATTTTAAAATCTTAATAAAAATAAAATAACAAAGTTAGTTAAAGTTTTGGTTACTCTGCAATTAAGGCTTAAAAAAGGAAATCATAAAGAAGTTTAAGCAGAAAATGATACGCTCCCATGGAATTATTATTAGTTTTATTTGAAAGGACATTGTATTCCTGATATACTGACATTCAACAATTAATCAAGTTGCATGCAAATTATTTGCCTGTCGGACCGTAGCTTAAGTCAATGCCTCTTTTCAATAATATTGTACAGAAAGTGTTTAAACCAAATGTATTCTACATAAAAGTTGTTCCCACTTTTCTTCACGTGCCTAAAACGCTTAGCTCAGTGCTATACATATATTCGAGTGATTCGTACATATACATATATAGTATATATTTATTCAAACGATTTGTTAATGGCTTTAATTAAATTCTATGGCAATTTCATGATTTTTAAGTATGATGGCAGTTATTTAAAACTTTATCACCTACAACTTGTTCTTGGTTCAGTTTATTACTTGAAAATGGCGACCAGTTCTCTGGTATACCCCATATTTATCTGAAAGAGAGACTATCTGTTGCGCATTGCTTGTATATGAAACCTCGCCAAATTCTGGCGGAACTAAATGAGGACAATAAAAAGCATCATAAATCTATAATATCAACCTGCATTGCCACTTTTATGAGCGATATTTATGATATGAAAATATATATTTTGTGCACAACGAACCTTGAGAACAAAGCTTTAATATGAACACATTTGTGGTCGATCGGGCTTTTGTTGAAATTCAAATTCGGAATGAAAAATAAAACAGTCATGTAAATTCTAACTATTCTTAAATAAAAATCCAGCGTCAAATTTTCAGATTAACAAATTCTCGGCTTTTACGAAGAAATGTCGCAATTTATTTTAGGAATTTTGTAATTAATTGAAAAAACTTACAAATGTAAGCACAGAATGCAGCTTAGAAGCGATTTAAGTCAATTATTTATGTGGATTTGGCACAAAAGGGAAATTTATTAAAGTAAGCTACTAAACATTTCTATTGCTGTTCTGTTCTTTACATTTCAACAATTAAATCATTTGAGTAATGTGGCTATGAAGAGTTTTCTGCTGCAGTTAAAATCTGCATCTGTATGTACTTTATGTTATGGCTTATTTATCTATTAAGACTCATTCAGTGAGATTTCCTTTAAAACAAGCAAACTAAAAGCATTAACGTATTGATGGAAAACTTCGCTGAGTGCCGAAATATTTCTATTGCCATTATTTTCGTAACATTTCCAGCACCAGCTATCAAAAAGTATTACCCATAAGTAATAAATTTCATTCCCTTTTAAGAAATAGCTGCCAAAACGTTTTGCCGACGGAAATTTTCCAGCGTCGGCATTTTTTCACCTTGGCTAAAATATTGCTAAAAAAGGAAAAGAAAAAATGAGAAATAAATGGAAAATAAATTCAATGTGTCTTTGCATATTTTTTGTAAAGATTTTTCTTTTATTTGTTTTTTTTCGGATTTTTCTTGGTTTTGTTTGTTGTGTTCATGTTTTTCAGGCTTCGTCTGGGCCTGGGCATGTTTTTCTTGCTTTTACTAAATTTTCTTTAGGTTTACTAACATTTTTGTTGTTGTTGTTGTATTATGTGGTAGATTTCAGTTTTTTGTTTTACTTTTTGTTTTCTGCATTTAATAATAATAATTTGTATATTACAATTACTTTCTGTTGTTGTATTCGTAAGCATAATTAATAATTAAATTGTTTATATAATAGATAATAATTATAATTACTTAATGCATAAGAGAATCTATAAAATAGAATGTGTTGTTTTTTTTTTTTAATTTCTTTCCTTTTTAAATATTTTTTTGTTTTTGTTTGTTTCGCTTTTGTCAACGCACAGTTTATTTCCCTCAATATTTGTACAGCGTAAGGTAGAAAATAATTGAATAAAAATGCCTAAAGGTTATGTGTGTTTAAACAAATGTAGCTGGAAGTGCAGAAAACGTTTTGTAAATAACATTTCGAAGTTACTCGTAAAACGCATTTAGTTTAGTTTAGTTTGGTTTTGCAACAATTTTCATTTCATTCTTTGTATCACACAATTGTCTTTTGTTTTTATTTGTTTAATTAATGTAAAAAAATGTCCCGAAAATGAAGACGTTAAATGGAAAGTTGTTGAAAACCATCATAGAGTATGGAATGCATGGGAAGTATGGAGTAAGAATTTTTGCAAACTTTTACAATTAAGTTCTTCTGCTTGGCTATGCGGCTTGTGTGGCAACAGTGCGTATGCTTAATTAAAAATTATTATTCAATATCTGTTTTGTTTTTGTTTCGTTTTGTTTAATTACACGTGCTACAATGCTGCTGTTGCATTTAAAATTATTCATTTCCCTTCATGTTGTTTAAAAACTAAAGCTAAAATGTTGCTGCTCTGTGTGTGTGTGTGTGTGTGTGTGTGTGTTCAACTAAATTGTTTTTACTTCATTAATGTTGTATTGTTGTTTATAATATTATTTAAATGTAGTTTAGAGTGTGTGTATTTGCAATATATTCAATAATTTACAATGTGGATATATCCAACAGTCCTGCGCTGGCCACCTCGTGCTGATGCTCCAGTGGATGCTGATGATGTTGCTGGTGCGGATGGGTGTGTGTGCTGTGCGGCAGATGTGGGTGTGTGTGGTGATGTGGATGATTGATGTGGTGATTGAGATTGAGATGCGCATGGTGGTAGTGATGTTGCGAAAAAGGCGGCGCATGCAGCTGCTGCTGCTGCTGCTGGTAGAGTTGTTGCTCCTCCAGTTGCAGCTGCTGCTGTTGTTGCTGTTGTTGTTGCTGCTGCTGCTGCTGCTGTTGCTGCTGCATGTCCAGCATGCTGCTGTTGCTACTGCTGCTAATCGTCGCCACTGGCTCCACACCAAAGCGACCCACAAACACATTCGCCGCAGTGGCCGCCGCACAGCTGGAGGAGTTCGAGGACGAGGAGTTCAGCTGATAGGCGGCAGCAGCGGCGGCGGCGGCAGCCGCTACGGCCAAGGCGGGTGAATGCGCGGCAGTGGGCATGGAATGCGTTGAGGAGCGACCGCCCGATGAACCCGATGCCGTCGGACTAGGTCGTCCATTCAGCTGGGACTGGGTCTGCGTCACCTGCTGCTGATAGCTGGCATCCAAGTAAGCGCTGGCAACAGCAGCGACGGTGCTTGGCGGTGGCGAGCTGGGCGCGCTATCTACCAGCTCAGTGGCGGCTCTAGCCTCCACACCCACTCCATAGGCGCTGGCCATTTCTCACATATGGGCCAGAGGCGCCATGGCACGCAGCGATTGCTGCTGCAGATGTTGCTGCTGCTGCTGGTGTTGCTGCTGGTGCTGTTGCTGCTGCTGGTGCTGCTGTTGTTGCTGCAACACGTGCTGCTGTTGCTGCTGCTGCAGCTCCGGCGAGCTCGCTTGATAGTGCAGCAGATGGCGTTGCTCGGCGTGCAGGGTCTCGGGTATGTGGTACATGTTCATCAAATGATTCAGTTCCGTGCCGCCAGCTGTTGCTGCTGCGGCGGCGGCTGCCGCTGCCGTGGCATATTCGCGCTTCATGATGTGATTGTTGTTGTTATTGTTGTTGTTGAGCGCTATGGCGCTCGGACTGGGCGAGACGGGTTCGGACTTAATGCTCGAATCGCTGGGACTGTGACTTTGGCAGGAGACTTGAGAGCCGGCAGTTTGGTGCGGATTGTTGGCGGCGCTGAGACCCGTGCTGTAGGGCGAGCCCGGCTGCTGTTGCAGGGAGCTGCTGTACGGGGAGCCGGGTTGCTGCAGACTGCTGCCGTAGGGCGAGGTTTGGCCACCGGTCACTGTGCCGTACATGCCGTAGCCGCCCGCTCCGGCGGCCGCTGCCGCATTCATGTTATACATGTGGCCCATGTCGTAGCGCTGCGCATAATGATTACCCATGTAGGCACTGTGTTGCGTCTGGTAGGCGGCCGCCGCACTGGCATCCGTGGGATGCATCATATAGCCGTTGGGCATGTAACCATTGGGGGCATTCATCTGGTAGATGTCGCGATTGACGGCTTGTTGGGCAGCGGCTGCTGCTGCGGCCGCCGCAGCTGCGGCTGAGCTGTTCAAGCCCTGGCCACCCTGGGAGCCACCGCCTGCTCCACCGCGTGTGGGTGTGCCGGGTTCCGGGCCGCCGGGCACACCGCCCTGCGTCTGCATGAGACCGCCCACGCCCAGCGGATACTTCTCCTTGGTCTTGGTGAGGGTTTTGGTTTTGCGACGGGGCCGGTACTTGTAGTCAGGATGCTCCTTCATGTGGACGGCGCGCAGACGCTTGGCCTCATCGATGAAGGGGCGCTTCTCGGCCTCGGATAGGTCCTTCCATTGCGCGCCTAACCGCTTCGATATCTCGGAGTTGTGCATCTTTGGATTATCTGAGGCCATTTTGCGACGCTGTCCACGCGACCAGACCATGAAGGCATTCATCGGTCGCTTCACCCGATCCGCATGCTGCTGATTCTTGTTGGCTGTGGCGCTGTTGTTGTTATTGTTGTTGCTGGTCATGCTGCTCAGAGCTGAGCCGGCGCCCATGTGCGTGGGATGCTGTTGCTGCTGCTGAGGATGTTGCTGCTGCGAAGGATGCTGTTGCTGTTGCTGCTGCTGATGGCTGACTGGCGAGGTCATGTGGTGGGAGCCGATGCTGGACTGTGTGGGGCTCAGTTCGCTGGAGCTGTGCAGCGGCGAGCTGCCATGCTGCTGACTGCTCTGCTGTGTGCCATTAAGCGTGTTGGCCATGCTCGTCTGCAACGAGCTCAGAGGATTGCTGCCGCCGCCATTCAGGCCATTGGGACTCTGGCTGGCCGCTATGTGGGCGCTCATGTGATGATGATGGTGATGATTGTGGTGGCTCAGCTGCGAATGGGTCAGATGGGACTGGCCGAGGTTCATCAGCGGGCCCAGGGAGTAGGGCGAGGCGGCATGGCCGTGGAGAGCGGCGCTCGCATGATGCGGCGGCATCGTGGCATGCAAAAGGCTGCCTTTCATGTCCGATTCCATGGTCAGCATCGTGCTTCTTCTTGTATTTGAACAATTGCGAATTAAAATTTAGCACAGCTTTCCTGTTAGCTGCCCAATCATGAAGTAGTTGAACACTTTCGTGTGTAGATCCCACCAGAGCTGTGGTAGCGACCTATTAGGTCATGGGGCTACGATTTCCGATAGCTGCAGATGTCTTTTGAGTGCTTCAGATGGTTGTAGATATCTTATAAATAGCCGAAAAAATGCTTGATGCGGTTGCTTCTAAAAGCTCGTAGTTTCTTTTTGAATTGCTTTGCGCTTTTTTGGTCGCAGATACTTTATTCAGCTGTTTTAATTACGTTTTGTGGTCGCAAAAACTTCTACAACTTGTTGTTGGTCGCGGATACTTTACTTTTGCCGCAGATACGTCTACAAGCTTTGTATTTATTGCAGATAGCTTCGCAAAAGGCTTTGTAGATGCGTCTATTGGTCGTCGATACTTCTTGAGGGTTCTAGTTGGCTTTCCAGTTAACGCTCAAGTTCTTGTCGATACACTTTCGAAGTTCCGGTTGCAGCATCAATTTGTTTAATTACTGAAGCTACTACTTGTACACTAGACTGTGTCGTTTATTTGCTATAATTCTTTGAACATTTTTTGGAAACCATGTTGCACTGAATTTTCTATTTTGGCTTTTTTGATTGTTTTTCAAAACTGCATCATTGCTATATTTCGTTATTTCTTGTCACTTATCTCTTGTCGGAACAGCTTTTTACGTTTTCACTGTCACTAATTTATATATTTTTGTGCTTAGCTTGTTGTTGTTGTTGTTTTTGTTGAAATATTAAACAAACACCGCACAATGCCGAAAAACACTTGAAAATTTTTGTTGTGCTGGTTGGTTTGGCCGTTAAAAATTTTTGTAGACACGACGCGACAATTAATGTATAGACTTGTATGGTATGTGTGTGTGTGTGTGCCGTGCGTAATTAAAATTTTGTGGCAGCTGTGTATTTTTATTTTATTTTTGCTTTTTGCAGCTTTGGCAAAAATCAGCGCGCAGCAGCGAGATACGGAAAAAATACCTCCACACTACACGGAATAGAGCACCTTTCTGAAAACAGACGACAGCTTCGAAACCTGTTCGAGGTGCTGTGCTGTGCTGCGCTGCTCTGCTCTGCACGACGAAATACGCTTGACGAATTGACGAACTGACGAACGAACGTACGAACGAATCGAACTAACGAACGCTACTACTGCTGCTGCGACGTTGCGTGCGCGTGTGCTGACAACAGCGAATGCAGGAGACGAATGAGAGACTGACTTACACAGCAGCCGCAAGCAAGCTGAGCTCAACGCGTGACACAGAGCAGGGTGCTTGTGTGTGTGTGTGTGTGCGTGTAAGTATATCGGTCGTGCGCTGAGAGAGAGAGGGTGGCTGGTAAAACTGGCTCTGGCCGTGTGTTCGTGTGAGTGTGGCGGCATTTGCAAACCAGTTTGGCTCGCATTCGACACACATGCGCGAGAGCGAGCACACTGTGCGAGCTCTTGTAATGCTGAACAGAGATAACGCGAGTGCTGTGTGCTGGCAAAGTTGTCTCGTCTGTTCGCTAATAAATCAAATAAATGTGTGAGCCTGTGTGCGTTTGTGTGTGTTTGTGCTGCTTGGGTTGGATTTTGCGCAGCGCTCAACGCCAATCAAAAAAGCGTAAAACGCGTGTCGATATATATAGCGGGCCTGTTCTCGCCGCATATCGATCTGTTGAACGGCAACTGCAATGCTTTGACTTGCCATAAAAATGTCGTCGTTGCCGTGGCTCGCTGTCGTTTTATGGCAAGCGCTGTTGCCACACTTCACACCGCCTAAAGCCGACTGTCGACAGCCGAGGAACGTACGACTCTGGCGGAATTTTGCGCTATGCTTTAAATATGGCCGACGCCGGAATGGTATTGGAGCGCAACGTGGCGGCAACGGCGGCGGCGACGATGACGACTACGACGACGTCGCCGCAGTGTTTGTGGCGTATTTACCGTTAGCGGCAACGCGTCTCACGCGCATAGTTTGGGTTTTGCTCGCCTTTTTTCCACTTTATTATTATTTTTTTCTTATTAACCTAATGGGTTTGCCAAGGTAGCACAGCACCAGCCGCGGAGATGACGAAGAAGAAGAAGAAGAAGCAGCAGCAACTGCAGCGAGAAAAAAATAACAGTGAGGCAGTCAGCCAAGACAGGCAACAGTAGTTGGAAAATTTATTAAGCAAGTGCTGCCAAGTGCATTGCAGATGTGCGTGTGTGTGTGTGTGTGTGTGTGTGTGTGTGAGTGTGTGTATGCACCTAGAGAAAAGAGGAGACACATTTTAAAATTAATTGCAATCGTGGAGGTTGGAAAAAATGATTGACTATGAAAAGGTTCAGGCAGACGTTAACTTTATACGAATACCATTTAAATACATAGCGTAGAAAGAACTTTTTTGCTTTTTCATTAAAATATAATCACTATTATAATTCAAATTAATGATACTTTTAAAGGTCTACGGGGCGTTTTTCAAAAGTAAACAATTATTGAACAATTGAACAATTATTAGCCTTGGCTGCAGTCAGTTTTTTCTCCCAGTGTATGCGCGTATGCATTTGAAGAGAAGCGAAAAAATTGCATATGCCCCCACTTTGACGTGGTTGGCACTTTTAGCTAGTGTTGCACACCCACACACACACACACACATTCACTTGCCAACATGAAGGTCCTTGCCTGACGCCGCTTTTGGCATCGCCAGCACATTGTTTTATGGCAAAGGCGGTTTTTGGGCGACGTTCTCATTCAAGTGTCGCACACACACACACACACACACACACAGGCACGTATGAGTAATTTGGTTTCTCGCACAGGCTTTTTGCTTCCCCCCACCGATCTTTTCGGGTTTAATTAGTGCAAAGTGATTCGACGCTGCATTACGCCTCTGTCTCTGACTCAGGGTAGTGGTAATGCAAGCCGCTGAGCCGAGTTGCTAAGGTCTCACTTGAAGGGTTTCCAGAAGTGAGTAAAGCAGTGATTCTAAACCAAAAGGGGCTCAGTAATTGGAGCCAATGCGTACTATAATTTGAAAATGTATACCTTTGTGTATTCATCAAATTCTTACTACTTTGGAAACACATGTTAAAAGCTGAGGAATTCATTTCAAATTTCAACTATGAAATACTTTTACAATAAAGAATTAAATAAAGATAAAGATTTATTTTAATGAAATATTTGTGGGTATTGCAGTATTGCAAGTAAACTACAAGTCTTAAGAGTTAGAATTACACACTTTTGAAGATTTTATTAATAAGGTTTCGTTAAAATATATCTTAAAGCTTAATCTCATATTAATTTGAAACTATGTATGAGTTAAGATATTGAACAAATAATAATTGTAGTTATCTCCACATTCAGAAAAAGAAGTAGCTACAAAGAATTTCTTTAACAAACATTTTAAAATATTAGTTTGCAAAGGAAATTAGATTCAATTGAATCTTTTCTAATTCTTAGTAAGCCGAAAATGTGGCATTAAATGAAAGTTTATTCGACGAAAATAAATGCTTAAGGGGTTTAGTTTCTTAGTCTTGAGACGGGGGCGAGGGATGGGAGTTTAATACATATTTTCAACATATTTAATTAACAACTTTTTACTATTTTTATTTTATTATTTCGATTTCATTTTTATTTCACACCTTTTAGAATAATGGTGATATTTTTGTTATGGTTTTAGTTTTGCAGTTAGGACCCCTATATTGAAATGAACTTTAAAGAAAAAATTATCATACAAAAATGATCCAACATATTTTTTTAAATTAGTTTTATTTTTATAATGATACGTTTTGAGTTGCGTAAATGCTGTTTGGAAAGATAAAACACAATTAAAAGCAGATTCTTATCATTCAGACTAAGCTAGCCAGACGAAAGTTCTGAAAGTTAAAATATAAGGATTCCTTTGCTTTGCCTTCTATGTATTGGGATAACATGTTTTCTGTTTAAGAATTGTTGTAGAATATGCTGTTAGAAAGTGAATGTGGATTTCAAATATGAAAACAGTTTATATTAATGGCCTAGAGGCACTTCTGAAATATAGCTTTTTCGCCTCACTTTTATTTGAACATGAAAACTCTTTAACATTGTTCTGAGAATTCTGACCCAGCTTCTGACACACTAAGCACAATTTATGGCCAATTGCAAATGATTTGACAAAATAAGGAAAAGAACAGAGCCGAGTTGAACAGGACAGAACAGAACATCGACAACGAGATGCAAAACAAAGGAAACCTGTACTGTACCAGAACTGACCTACAACAAGCTCAAATCTTAACCGCAAACACAGAGTTGGCCTGAAAAGGCAAATAAAAGCCGCACCAGAGAGAAGTAGTAGTATAAGAAGAAGAAGAAACACACACACAAAAAAAAAAACAACACAGCTATTGTACAATTCCAAATACAATTCACAGAGGCAGTAACTCTTGTTCATTATCATCAATGTACTGCCTGGTGGCTGCTCTTGTTCTTCCTCATTGTTGCTGTATTGTCGTTGTATTATTATTGTATGTTGTTGCTGCTATTATTGTTGTTGTTGTCGTTGTTGTTGCTGCTGTATTTGCAGCCATTGATTCTTTGCTTTTTTTTTTTTTGGGTGGGCTGACTTGCTGCCTCTGCTGGCTCTTCAAAAGCGCTCGCCATTCAGTCAAAAAAAGAAAAATAATAATAATAAAAAATAAAATAAAACCAAAACCAAAACCAGACCAGACTCAGACTTTTCAGACTGAGGAGACACTCAGACGGCTCAGCTGGTGTAGTTGCTGCCTTTGTTGCTGCTGTTGTTGTTGTTGTTTATATTTGTATTTTATGTTTGACGTTTGAGTGTGCTCGGCGCGTGTGAATGAAAAGGAAGCTCACATACACAAAAAAAAAACACAGAAACAGAAAAAAAAACAAAGTCAAGGTCATTGTAAAGAGTTTTAATTGTTCGCACAAAATAAAAATACAAACACACACACACAAACACAATGGCACACCAGCTAAATAAAAAAGAAAAACATTACAAACAAACATTCGTACATAATAAAAGAAATAAAAACGCAACGACAATAGCAAAAGGCAACAAGAGCCACAACAACAACAACAATAACTACTACAACAGCAGCCACAAAAGGTAAATGGCAAACAAAAAATGTTGAATGAAAAAAACAAACAATATTTGCACATATTCAGAGCCACACACACCTCTTTATTGTTCGCTCGCGATCTAATATGCCAACTCCCTTCTACACACACACACACATCCATACACCGATGTATATTTCAACAAGTTGGATTTTTGGAAATCGACAGAGCAAGGTTCAAAAATCAAGATTACACCTGAGCTGTTTAGCATTTAGAATTTAGAATATATTTATTGTCTGCACTTTAATTTAACTTAAACGGAACCAAAAACAGTTCAGAAAAGATTTCTAAAACAGAAGGCTATTTTTTATCAACCAAATATTTTACAAGTATTTTTTATTTTGTCGACATAGGTTATTAAACCCATTGCTTTATTGCAGAATGGGAAAGAACGTTTTAATTTGAACGATAAATGTTTTTAAGACTGTTAAAAACATTGCATCTAAGAAAGAAAAGCGATTGGTTAGTTCTTAAAAACCTATTTCCTATTTAGTTCTAATTTAAACAAATTAAGAACTTAAATTCAAATGTTCTTTAGAAATAATCGGTTTGATGTTAATACAGACTTAAAAGTAAAAATATTTTCAAACACAAAAATATAAAGATATTTAGTAGCAATTGCATAAGTTAATGCCTAATATATAAAAGGGGGCAGTGGTTCGGAGTATTTGTGCTCGATACCTTTCGCTTTATCCAATATTATTGTATTATTACAGTATTTCCTCTCAATATTCGAAAAAAGCGCGTATTACTTGTGTGTCTCCGCATGTGTCTTCGTTTAATATTCAAAAGGGAAGTGGCGTACGATAATATATTCTCCACCAACAATAGTTAGTAAGTTATATAAGTTTAGAATAATAAGTCGGAGAGGATGGATCAGTTTATTACAAAGTGCTGCTAGAAGCTGATATAAAACC